ACAGGCCGACCAGACACTTAGCATATTAGGCTTTTAGTATATAGGATATGATATAGGACTAGAGGCCCGGTGCACAAAATCTGTGCATGGGGCAGTGGGGGGGGGTGTGGTTCCTCAGCCCGGCCTGCACCCTCTCGCAATCCAGGACCCTGTGGGATCGGGCCTAAACTGGCAGTCGTATATCCCTCTTGCAATCTGGGACCGCTGGCTCCTAACTGCTCACCTGCCTGCCTGATTGCCCCTAACCACTTGCCTGCCTGCTTGATTGCCCCTAATCGCTTCTGCCTCGGCCCCCACTGCTGTGGCTTCGTCTGGAAGGATGTCCGGAATGACATCCAGAAGGTTGTTCAGCTGTCCGGTTTAATTAGAATATTATGCTTCTATTATTATAGATTGGCCTGGACTTTTTAAAAAGTTAGTATTATGCGGGGGAGGGGGAGGGTGGAGCTGAAAAAAAGAATCAGGAACTGTTCTACAGTAAAAGAGACCCCAGAGATAACACAAATTTACAAAAGATTCACTGGATCCTGAGCTGGTATCTATATAATAAAGAGCTAATATGCTAATAGTTTTGACACCCTCACGCGTAATGACCAATTAGCAGGAGGTTGCGTATGCAGCAGGTGTGGGTGGGTGGGGACTTGCAGAGTCGGGGACTTGCATGAGACTCTCGTCCCCATCCCAGTGCCGGAACCAGGGGACCTGAGGCTACGCCCCCGAGGCCACGCCCCCCGCCCCGGCTCCAGGACATGAAGCTGCATCCCCCGCCTGATGGGGCTTGACGGGGGTGGGGCCGGCCAGGTCTTGGTGTCGCCCAATGTGGGTGAGGCCGGCCGGACACTTCTATTATAGAGAAAGGGCAAATAGCAATATCAAAATATTTCCTCTAATTAATTCCCTTTTAATGAGCACAAATTTCGTGCACCAGGCCATTAGTAGGTATATATTACTTTTATAAACAGAAGCATAAACATGTTCTTTAAAAATTTAAATAAGCAGGCTTCAACAAAATCACATAGGCAGGCCCCTTCCTGTCAGCCCACCCACAGGCTCAGGGCAGTTTGCAGAACAGGAGGTCGGCCCAGGTGTCTCCCATCAGGTTTCCCCAGAACCTGGCGCACAGGGAGGCGGGGTGCTCGCTTACCTGGTGCTGGGTCTTACTCTCCATGTGCCCCAGCTTCGCATTCATCTTATCCTGAACCGATCCCAGCTCCGCTCTGATCTCCTCCACAGTCGCCTCCAACTGATTCTCCAGCTTGTTGATTAGGGGTTCACATCGACAGCCATTTATTGGTGCCTAAGAGGGAAACAAAAAAGGAATCGATCCAACTCATCTGGATCCTTCCAAAACTGAGTTCTGAGTGCCCATCCTGTGCCAGCCAGCACAGGGGGGTGCCGAGATGGACACAGGCTCAGCCCTGCCCTTACTGCGGAAGGTCCCGCAGGCCCAGGGTTGGGTCCAGGAGGCCCCCGGAAGAATCAGAGGGGGTAACGGAGTCCCAGGCTGCTTTTATCCTCTCCGGGACCTCAAGATTATCTAGTCACCGAGGGACCGCGCAGAAAGATCTGTGACCACCCCCGTTTGCCTGGGCCCAAGCAGCAGGAGGGTCTCACTGTTTAGGCGGGGCGGGCCACCTGCCTTTTGCTTAAAGCTCACACCCATTTAAGCCAATGCCGACAGTGGACATCAGCCCCCAGATATGGTGCTCGACAGGCACCCTGCGGCAGGCCGTGGTCCCATGTCCGACGGGGCTCGGCAGGTACCTGCATCACTTTCCCGTCCTTGCCCCGGTACAGCGTGTAGAGCTGGTACGCTCTGAACTCATGGGGAGGGGGTGGGGGTGAACATCGATGCCTGGGCTTCTTTTTCGGGTGATTATGAACATGTAAATTCTTCTGGTGTCCAGGCTGCTGGTCTGCAGGTGGGGTGGGGTCGGAAAATGCTGACACCTGTGGGAGAGGAAGACAGCACCCTCAACACTGTGACAACTGCAAGACCAACCCCTGGCCCGCGGCTCCGTCTCACCCACTTTTGGGCAGAGAACCCGGCCCGGCTTCATCTCATGGCGTCCTACTCCAAGCACCACATTCCAAAGAAATGCACCAGCAAGCTGACCTGTGCCTGCCGCTAACCAGGTTTAATGTCCGTGCTCTGGCCCCAAACCAGCCAGCGAGCGAAGGCGCCTTCTGGCCGTTGGGCATGAGGCTGTCCCAGGGCCCTCGGTCGCCGGCTCCCAGCCATCTCTGGGCGGCTTTCACGTGCCTCCTGACCTTGGGCCTTGACTTTCTCCTCCTGTTGTCCTTTGCTCGGGGCTCTGGGGAGGCCGACAGGCAATCTTCTCTGGCCTCTTCTTTTCTGGGTGCAGCCTGGTCACTGCTCGGGGTGTCTCCTGCCGAGACACTTCCCTACAGAGAAAGAGAGCGCAGACACAGGTTCGACTCGCCCCCTTGGCCTTTTTCAATAATGCTGTAAAATTCTGTTTGCAAGACTCCATCCACCACAGGACCCATGGGAACCTTTGCCAATGACAAATTTCAGACACAGGGCACTGCGTGGTGGTCTTAACTGTCCACGTGCACTTTCCCCAGGCAGTTGAACGTTTGGCTTTTACTTTATTTATTAGGTGTCAAACTAAACACTCTCAGATCTGACTCAACGTGAACTTCAAGAATCTCAGCATTGGAGATTTCTGTTCTTTTACATCTCAACAAAACACCACCCCCATTCTTCGCACGTGGATCCTCAAATCATAGCAGAGAGAACCCTCTGAAATGGAAAAAAAATGTTTCTGGTCCTTGTGAGAACTTTATAAAGTAATATTTAAAATCAAATTAGGAGAAGAATGAGTATTTGGAATAAACCTTTATGTGCCCCAAGTTCTCTCTCTCTCCTAGTCTTCCTCCTGGGAGTGGCGTAGTCCAGGGCTGCTGTGTATAGTAGTGCGAGCTGCACACGGGCACCTGGCAAGGGGGTAAGTGGGCACTGGGAACTGAAATCCAACTCAGACTCTAGTCACCATATGCGCCCCTGTTGCCCAGAGAGCATCTTTACCTAATTTGCACAGCCTCAGCCACTGCCTAAGCGGACAGAGAGGAAGCAGCCTTTGCCAGTGGTTCTCAAAATGCGATCACATCAGAGCCCCCGGGAGGACTGTTCAAACAGATCACTGGGGCCCAGCCAGAGTTTCTGATCAAGTGGCTCTGAGGGGAGGCCCCACACTCAGAAAAGCCCTGCTCCACACGACTACGGGCGCAGTGACAGAGAGGCAGTGCTGGCCACAGGGTAGCACAAGGCCACAGACACACGGGCTAGTGACCAGCATATGACGGTGCTGGGAAGTATGGGCAGCACACGCTTGGAAATCCAGGAGGAGTGGAGGACGTGAAGCCAAGGGAACAGACTGGCAATAGTCTGAGGGACCCCAGCGAAAGGAAGAGACCAGAGGACATGGCAGCCGCCAGATGAACCCGGAGTCAGCAGTTCCCACCCGAGCGCGGCTGGAGCTGGGGAGGGCGGGAGGGCTACCCCCACCTTGCTTTGTGCCACCTCATCTCTTGGCACAGACTGAGCTCTCCTCTCTTCCTTGAGCCTCTCTCTCTTTTTCCTCAGACTTCGCCCACGACTGAAGCGCAAGACCTGAAGGAGGCAAGAGCATCGTTACAACTGGTGCAGCACAGGCGAGAGGGGGTTCTCCTGGGACCTGGCGCTCTGACTACAGGAACTTCCAGCCCAACAGGGAGACCAAGCATCCACACTGACCACCTCATACCTGCAATGCCTCCTGCTGGGCGCTTTACAGACCCAGAGCTGGACACTGTCCCTGCCCTTAAGCAGCTTCCAGTCTACGACAGTAACAGGCATTTGTGTGCCAGGCCAGGGCCACCACGTTGGTGTGCAGGCTGTGCACTGCCAACCTCCAGAGGGCACCCCTCACAGGCAAGAGGCCGGGATATGAGTGGCGCCCCCTGGAATTGTGCAGAGCAGCAGTCCTAGGCCAGCACAGCCTCACTCACTAGCTTCGTACACTGGGCCCAAACGACCCATCAGATTTTCTCTTGGTCAAACCATATCCAAGTCATGTATTTGATTAAATAATACTGAGATACATCTATGATCCATGGTACCCACCATGGGGCAGGAACCTTTTCCCCCAAAGGAAACATTTGTTCAGCCCCTTAGAGAGGGGGAATGGACACAGGCAGGTACAGGGAATCCGACAGGCCCAGGGATGGTACCCAGCAGCTGTAGAGTCTCTGGGCAAGCTATCTGACACCTCTGCGCTCTATCTCCTCAAACGTAAACACAGGAAGAGTTGCTGGGATTAACCAAGACAAAGAAAATGGCTGGCACACCTCAGACCCTCAGTCACTGTCAGCTGCCTCCATGCCCAGAGTACGCTTAACCAGAGTATAGATGGAGACCAGCACTGGTCCAGCCCCACGCCCTTCCCCCAGCCCCTGCTCCCACTTCCAGGGTTCACCTCCTTTCACCAAGGAGGTCCAGAAGGTGGAAACACTTTTCAAGGTCACACTGTCTTTCTGCAATAAACATGTTATTCTCTTATATAAACAGACAAGGGCTCTCTGAAGATCCCCAAGTATTTTTCATCTCAGTTTCAGACTTTCTTCTCCTGTTCATATGTTCAAGTGACACCATGACAACAAAAAGAACCTTTACGGGCAGTGGGTATCGCATAAAGGGAAAACCCCTGACAATATCTGCCTGCAGGTAAACCTCATTTTTAAACCCTCTTCTCACCCGCTGAGCCAGCAGTTCTGAAAGTCTAGGGACCCCCGGGCCATGAGATTAAGACTTGTTCTAATATGAAGATGATGTGGCCCTTTTCACTCTCACTCTCTCCAGGGTGCACAGGGGCATTTGCCAGGGGCTGCATACGTGGTCATGCAGCAGAGAGCGGGCAGAAATCAATGAACCTGCTACCTTCTAAATAAGATGGACAGTAAGGAGATCTGCACAAATGTAAAACAATGTTGCTTTTCTTAGTTTTTGTTCTGATATTTTTTTTCACAAGATAATGCTATTTCTACTAACACAAAATGGACTTCCAATTTGTAAATTAATAAACACCTTTAATATTTCTCAAGTTTAATTTGAATTATGATAACTACTGATGAATAAAATTCACATAAACAAAGCTCCTGGTTGCCTCCAAAATATTTTAAAAGGGTCCTTAAACCAAAAGTCTGAGAACCACTGTCCTGAGCCATTTCTAAAGCTAAGTTTAGAATAATTAAAAGCCGAGTCTGATAAAAGGAAGTGACTCATTTAATGGACACTTACAACAGGACACAGTACCAGGTTCTGCCTGAAGTTCACTCTCAGAAGCACTATTGAACCATGTCAATCAAAAATGAGAAGTGACACTCAGAGGTCACCCAAGCTAAAAATAATCACCAGAAAAAATCCCTCCATAGACCATGTTACCAGCCATTGAAAAATCATGTATCCACCAAATGAAATATCAATCTTTTCCCGATTCACAGAAATCAGGAAATATTGATCTAAAGGCTTGGAAAGAAACATCCTTGGTTCTGCTGTGAACCATCAAAATCCATGGCCGACTAAGGCACCAAGGCACAGGGATTTCTTATTTCAGAAAAAACAAACAGGAAGGCTATTTCTGTAACAACAGAACAGCAGGCATATAATTTTATGCATATTCCAAAGTTCATTCTTTGTGTTGAGAATAGAGTTTAGCATGTACAATTATATAAAATAAACTTTCAAAAAATGTCATCCTATATGCTATTCAATGTGGGCGTGGAAAAACTTGCTTAAGCCGTTTTTTTTTGTTTTGTTTTGTAAATATATTCCTGCATGCCTCACACTGGGAATCGAGCCTACAACCCGGGGATGTGTCCTGACCAGGAATCAAACCGTGACCTCCTGGTTCATAGGACTACACTCAACCACTGAGCCACGCTGGCTGGGCGCGTGAGTCGTTTTTAACTGGAAACACTAAAGGAGAACTGCACAGGAAAACTGTCTGCGGATGATGATCCTTGGGCCCTGGAAGAACAGCTGGGTCAAAGGCCCATCAGTCTCTGTGTGCCTGGGATCAGCCACCCACAATACTCGATGAACTTCAGGTGGCTGAGCCACACGCTGGCGGTCCATCAAATTGCCAAACATGGAAATGCCAGATGATTGTGATGAATTCTGATAATTGTGATGAAAAGCATGTAGCACCTTGTGCTTTTTAGTCAGTGGAATCAGTCCAGGGTTCACGAACTGGCTCCACTGACGAGTTCTTTGTAAATAACTAGAGAGAAGCGCAGCCTTTTCGCAAGGAGCACTGACTTGCACCTGCCCGGGGCTCTGTGCACCTCCAGGGACCACTGAGAAGGACCAGCTCCACCCACAAGAGGGTGATCCACTTTGCAAAAGACAAAAACATTAGCCAATTCCAGAAGCTGCTTCTACCAGGCATGTTTTTGAAACTTAAATGCAACAGGGCCGTGCGGAACCCTGGGCTGGCTGGGACTGAGCCACGCGGCAGCCGGCTGGCGTCCAGGCCCTCCTTGGCTCCCTGACACGCACCTCCTTGCAGCAGTAGTCAGAACGCGGTGGGAAGGAAATCAGTGCTAACTATACTGTAACACAGAATAGCTCCAACTGGGAAATAACCTACATGTCCTATGTTAAGGAAATGGTTTAACAAAACAGGCAGCAATAAAAAATAATACTGTGCCTCCATTAAGATGAATAAGTGTGCTGACTGCAGAGCATTTTCCTATTACAGTTAGAATAGAGGGCACACTACAAAAGGCGCATATATTGTAGGCACAATTATGTAAAAATTACGTGTCAGGGGAAGGTAATATGAAGAAACAAAAGTTATTTCGGGGTGCTGAAATTATGGCTCGCTTATAAATTATCACTATAAAATTTCTTTATTACTTAAATAATTTCAACCTCAACTCAAATGATATGTCATCTTTTTTTTTAATTGACCGATTACCAAAATACCACTCTTTGATAAAAAGAAAATGATACCGTACTTAACTGCCTCTAAGTCAGTGGTTCTCAACCTTCTGGCCCTTTAAATACAGTTCCTCATGTTGTGACCCAACCATACAATTATTTTCGTTGCTACTTCATAACTGTAATGTTGCTACTGTTATGAATCGTAAATATCTGATATGCAGGATGGTCTTAGGCGACCCCTGTGAAAGGGTCATTTGGCCGCCAAAGGGGTCGCGACCCACAGGTTGAGAACCGCTGCTCTAAGTAGACATTTGCTGCTTCCTCTGCTCAGAATGGGCCCTCCTCCCACTTCTCTCTAGAAAACACCCCTGGACCACATGGTCCCATGGATGTGGCCATCTTCCTAAAGCCCCTGACACACTTGCTCAGGGTACTTGCCCCAAGCTCTCCGGCGATGTTTTAAACTGGAGCTTTTTCCTGGCTGAGTGCCCAGGGAGTTATAATCCAGGAAGCCAGTGGAGACAAAATCATGCCCATCCGTGAAGAACAGCCTGCTGGGCCTGAAGTCCTGGTGCCGGTTACCCCAGAAGCCCACTTGGGTCCCCACATTTCCCACGGCCTGGTTAGTGAGCCCCTGTTTAAGTCCGTTTGAATTGGCTTCAGGACATTGCAACCAGAGACTCCCAGTGACTTTGTAGCCCCACATAATCCATACAGCAGAAAATGCAGGAAGTCCTACCTGGGGAGCTTTAGTGAGGAGAAGAGCAACTTCCGGATTGTTGTGGTAGCGGGCGGTCTCCAGCGGGGTCTGGCCTGCCTGAGGAAGGGCACAGGGGAGGACAAGTGAGCACTGGCCACCAACCCCGCACGCATGTAGCTCACCTGGGACAGCAACCTGCACTCAGTCACACCAGCACCGAAACACGCATATGACGTGGCCCTGCTCTTGAGCCTCCTCCCAACATGGGAACCAAGTTCCACCTGAGGCCGCAGCAAGAGAGGGTAAGTGCTGACCCCATGGGCAGTGAGTGCTCCAGGAGGCAAGGGTCAGGGGCACTGCCCGCCTTGGAATGCTCTCTGGAAGGTGAAAAGCAGACAGGGCCAAGGTGGAAGATTTCAGTTGAAGAAACTCAAAGGATCATAAAATCCAGCCAAGCAATGACATGTCCCTGGAGAACAGGAAAGAAGACACCTGGACGGGCAGGTGAGGGCCCAGCCAGAGTCTCAGGAACTGGATTGCGAAACAAATGAGGAAGCTCTGGCCATAATGGAGGCTCTAGGGCGGGTAAGCCAAACACCGAGAATTGATAACAGTGGGATTCCAAGCCTGGGGAAAGTGTTCAAGGCATGAGGGGAGAGGTACCATAAGGTACCACCCATAAGGTACCAGAACTGTGAGGAGGGAGGGGAAACTACCCACAGGAGCCTTCACCGGATTCAACCCCCGTGACTTCTAGACACTCACACAACTGTTCTGGCCCCTCGAGTCTGATTCAGGAGGGCACAGACCACAGAGCAGCCTGGAAAAACAGGCACCTGAGCTGGTGGCTGCTACAGGATCTGGGAGAGAGGAGAGGAGGGTGGTAGAGGAAGGGCAGAGGGAGGGAGATATTGAGAAAGGAGTGAGTGAGATAAGGTGATTTTGGAGAAAAAGGAATTAGAAGTTGTGAGGATGATTAATCTGATGACCATATGGCCATTTTCTTGAGGACCACACCTGTGAACAGTTCACATCCCTTTACTTAGACATCCCTGACCTTTTCACACCAGGGTGTGCTCATGTCAGCCAGGAATCTAAAGATGAGTCCTCAGGGCTTGTCAACTCATGGGGCAGCTAAACTCAAGAGGCTCCCAAGTCCACCTGAGAGCCCCAGGGGTTATGGCTTTTGGAACCCTACATTCTTCCAGAGTGAACCTGGCGAGGCTATGTGCCCTCGGAGTCTGTAGGAGGTGAGGTAGCAACAACATGCCCCTTCTGCAAAGGGGTGGAAAGGGCTTTAGAAACCATTGCTGCAACTCGACTTACATTATTAACAATGGTTACATCTGCTCCCGCTTCCAGTAAGATTTTAACCACCTTCTTATGATTTAGGGAAGCAGCAACATGAAGCGCTGTGTCTCCGGCCTGAAATTAATCAGAAGAAAGTTTGCTAAACCCCATCTGGTCATGGCCCACAGCCCTCCAGCTTTTCGTCCCATGCCCTGCTGGTGGCTTTTCAAAGTCAATCTACAATTTGACTGAGAGGGCGGCCTTTGCTCAAGTGTTATGTGGATCTCTCTAAAGTTCATCGAACTAAATGAGCTATGCACAATGACCACACTCCTTTTTGACTGGAGATGCCACAGGTAAAGTAATGCTGGGCTGGGTTGTTGAGAATGGTCAGACCTGGATCCTACACTAAGGCAGGGTGGCAGGTAGCCATGTCCCACTGCCCAGGCAGGGGAGAGGGCAGAAAACCCTTGGTTTCTGAGTGCTAGAATGAGGATGTGCGGGGCCGCTGGGAATCACTTGCAGGCTCACGGTGCTCTGTGCTGAGAACCAGTGTTCATGGAACACCAGCTGTTTCCAATTTCTCACCAAATAGCCTGTAAGTTCATACAGTGGGGCCTTGACTTACGAGTTTAATTCATTCGGAGACCGAGCTCCTCGTTAAGGAGCTCGTTAACTCAAGTTACTCTGTCAACTCAATGCAAAAAATCGGTGGACAGTTGGTATCTCAAAAAACTCGTTAGTCGGGACACTCGTAAGTCAAGGCCCCACTGTATTTTCTTTACAAAAGAAAAAAATGTTTTCAGACAATCAACTATGAAAGGAGGATTTGGACAAATGCAGCGTGGTGAGTCAATTCTAAATGCAGTTGCTGGATTTTTGTTGTTCTTTTTTAACTCCAGACAGAATAATATAAATAAGCCAGTCAAACGTGGGAGAAGTACAGTAATTCGCTCTCCGCCATCAGGTGATCAGGTGGAGCACTCTGATGCGTTTTTCCTGACAGCATGAGCATTCAGTCACCCAGGCCTCCTTCGCCAGTGTGTGCCGGGGACTCATTTCATTGCTGAGTCACTTAGCTGTGTGCTGGGGGCGGGGAGCTGTGTAGCCGTGGTTTCCAATCTTGGCTGCTCACTGGAATCAGGCGGGGAGCTTTAAAAACTACCGATGCCTGGGTCCCGCCCCAGACATTCTGGTGGAGGGTCTGGGGCGGGGGAGGGGGCGTTGGGCCTGGTGATTTTTCAAAGCTCCCAGGTGACTGAAACACGACCACGGGTGAGAAGCACCGGTTAGTGGGGGCTGTGTAGGGTAATCTGATGAACCAGAATCCTCTGGGAGGCTGTAGAATGATGACTTGGCTATTGAGCCGGGTCAGTGGTCTCAATCCTACCTGCACACCCAGGCCAGGAGCTCTTTATAAACCCCATTACGTGGATATTCTGGACATTTAAGCTGGGGTGGAATTCAGCATTGGTGTTTTTAATTCCTGTTGATTCTTATGTGCAGCCAGGGTTAGAAACCACCACAACTGGGCATATTCAATCTGAATAACGCTCTATGTTTTAAATTTCAGATAAATGTACCCAAACTCAGAAAAGCCAAACAATGCATCGCTCAGGTATCAATAAATATCAATTGTTTAAAAACAATCTAAATAACTACTGAAAGTCAAGCACATTTCCAGGAACACTGTAATAATCACAGTTTTATTTCAAACCCCCATTGTATGGCACAGAGATAGGTCATGTGCCCAAATTCACAGAAACCAGCAGCTCCATCAGCTCGGTAAAGTGGCAGCGCAAGTCGTGAGATGCCTTTCCCTTGCGTATGATTAAGCCACATTCTTGCCGGTTTCCTTTGTAAAATCACATTAAAAACAAAACCCCACCCCGGGATCTCCAGGGGATGTTCAATATGCAAATGCGGTGGTATGCACTGGGATGATAAGGAGGCCGGATATACCAGGGCCACTGGCCGAGTGCCAGGCAGAGAGAGGCTCCCAGCAGCTTCTGCTCCCGTCTGGGCTCAGAGGCCTGTCAGTGAGCCTTGTGGGAAGGGGCTGGGCAGCCATGGGGAGGGCACATGCACTGACCTGGTTCTTTTCATGGACAGAACAGAAAGCACTGAGGAGGACCTTAATGATGGACAAGTGATTATAGCGCGCGGCAACGTGCAAACAGGTGTCGCCTGCCTGCGGACAGAAATCACACTCTAAGCACGGTCTGAGTGGTTACAAAACAAGACAGAAAGTAAAAAGGAAGAGCATTTAAAAGCTGGCAGACTAGTGTATATTCTTTAGAGGGCGTCGGCCTGAGTGATAAGCTTCTCTTTCACCCACGGAGCCTCCGCTCGGGGACTCCCAGCCCTTTGCTGCTGTCTGCAGCCCTGCTGATCTTCCTCCACGCACTTCTCTGCTTTCAGGTTTCAGACGCTGGGTGCATGCTCCCCATGAGACCTCCTCAATAGCCAAGACAGGTTCTGCTCACCCAGCACCTGATAAGAACCCACTGACCCCACCGTCTCCTAGAAGCCAGACTGGGAGTACACGGAATGAAGACCACGAGCACTGCTTTGGGAGCGAGCCTTCCCCTCAGAGATCTGTCATGGCTCTACGGACAGGGCAGCAGGGCAAGTGGCTGGATTTTAAGATCACATGTCTTCTAAAAAATTCAAGCACCATCCCATATTAGTCGGACCCCAATATCCCACATGGAGCAGTGCAGTCTGGGGAGCTGGCACGGCATAAAGAGGGGAGTCAGAAAGACTCAGGGTCAGGGTTTTCCTTAGTGGTCACAGGCCACGCTCCCCCAAAGACAACAAAACTGGAGACAAAGTCCTGATAGTCTGCGGCATTCTCCTCACATTCTATTCCGGTGCTGTCTAGCGATGGCGACCATTCAGCATGGTTTTCTCCCCAGATTAAGGAGCGAAGCTCACAGCCGAGGTGCGGGGCATTCTAAGAAGCACCCTCGATGTGTCTGCCCCCAACTAAGGCCATTTCTTAAAGAGATGCCGCAGTCAGGTTCCCTCGTCGAGTGGCTGGGGCCTGGGACTCAGAAAGGAAGGGCAGCTCTTTGCGGAGAGAGGGACACCAGGTGACCTCTCAGGCCGGCATCCTCTCAGACTACTGACCACCAGCTCATTCCCAGGATGCCTCTCACTGGGTTGTAGAGGCAGTGGGGCATGTAGCATCAGGAGACCTCCCCTGCACACATCATTCAGTGTTTGCAGAGACCTTCTTAGGACACTTAGCGGTTTCCTAGATTCATTCACCAGCACACACTATAGGAAATGATAAAACAAATTGAGGTCGAGGAGTGAGGTGAAAAGGATGGGGAAAAGGCAGTTTTTCCAAGTCTCCTGATTCCACCTCTCATGCTCCTAAATGACCCTTTAGGAAATTAACCAAAAAATGAATGCTTTATAGATAGCCCCAGACACTTTTCATTTTTATTTTCTAGATGTTAACACTCAAGAATGCTCTCAGGGTTGTTTTCTAAGGTGACTGACACAGCGAGCAGGACAGAAGCCGGTGTTGTTCACCCACGTTATTTTTGAGGTCGGCGCGGGACCCGCCCAGCAGGAGGACGCGCGTGCTCTGGGAGTGGCTGTTCTGGCAGGCCAGGTGCAGGGCCGTGTTCCCCGCCTTGGAGAGAGGCAAGAGAAGGGAGGACACGTTAGCAACTCGGTGCTCCGCAGCCCCGCACGGAGCAGACCTTACAGAGGGGTGACACAGAAGAAAAGTCAAAGCTCATATTCGCTGCTTCCTAAGGGGCAGACCCAGAAGGGGTTTCAGTGGCAAGAACGTTTAATTAGGAACCCAAACAGGAAGAGAGCGAGAGTCACATCTGTCATAAAACCGTGGTTCCAAGGCCTGGCTCTGCCTCTTACAGGTTGACAGGCACTGGTCAAGGCTCTTAATAGCCTCAGCCTTGAATGCCTTACCTGTAAAATGCAGCGTGACCCGTTATGCTGAGGCTGTGAGGATGGACTCAGGGCCCAGGAGGGGATTTCCTTAACGATAAAATGCTGTGCACATGCCTGTGGTATGTTCCTTTTAGAGAAGACTGCAACACGGATAAAAGCTGTGGCTACAACACTGCCAATGAAGGCAGAGAGGATAAAACAGGCCACCTCCTACGTGCAGGCTAACGGTACCTAAGATTATACTGTAGCCTTTTTCAAATTGTCCATTCTCGTATTTTTCTTGAAACAAAATTTGAACTATGGAAAAGATCGCCACATAACAGGCAACACAACTGCGCCTGTCACTTAGCATACGGATAGGGCCCCTCTACCTTCAACATGCCACATCGAAATGACAGCCCAGGTCAGAATGATGCCCCAGCGACCTGGCAGAAAGAAGTCACAAACAGAACTCTGTGAGGCTATGGGAGCAGGGCCTGTAAGGCTGCTGCTACCCCTAGAAAAGTAACCAAATAAGAGGCAGCGAGGGGAGAGCTCTGGGGGTGGTCTGAGCGAGGCCTGGAGTGCTCAGGGGGTTAAAGACATAGTGTCTGTCCTGCCGAGCTTATAAGCCGGGTCGGGCTGCAGCTGTGTGGCCTCTAAGCTTCTACCCTGCCTGTTGCTGGCTCTTCCCTCACCTAGTTTACTCCTTCTGGACCACAGTGCACTGTCTGCCCACACTCAGGAATGTTATTTCCTTACCTTTTGGAAAGAGAAGTGAGTCATTAAAAATAAAAAAAGAACAGGGGAAAACTGTCTGCTGCCAGTTCACTTACCTTCCCTCTCCTAACCTCACCTCTGACCGCCCAGGTAGGCTTTCCTCCTCACTGTGGCCTCCAGGAAACCAGAGGCGCTGACAGCCTGAGGGTTCAGTGAGCATAATGTCCATCAACCCTTTGCCGCCATATGAATCCCCTGGCAGCCGGCACAAATGCTGCACAGCTGCCGGTCTAGGGACTCTGATTCACTCTGCCTGGGGGTGGGGCCTGGCACTCAGGTTTGTGCACTGAAAGCCAAGCATTCTGGGGAACCCCTCAGCAGGGCAAACGGGGGCAGCTGGTCACCCAGGCCCAGCCATCAGGGTAGATTCACTTTTTTATTTTTTGTGGTTGTTTTTTCTTTCCCCCCTTTTAAGTCAAGGCCCCACTGTATTTTGCCAGTGAGAAAATATCAATTATGCTGAAAAGCATTTGGATCAAGAAAATGAAAAACCAAAGTTAAGCATAAACAAAATATGGTACATTCATGCAATGGAATATTGCTCAGCAATCAAAACGAATGAACTAATCCCCCATGTAAGCACACGTGAGAGTCTTAAAAACAGTACGCTAAGTGAGAAAAGCCAGATACAAAGGCTGCGTATCGTGATTCCATTTAGATCACCTTCTGCGAAAGGCAAACAAATTGGTGGTAGCCAGGAGCTGGAAGGGGGTGGGTGAGTGGGGGATTGTCACTAAAGGGAACAAAGGAACTTTTGGGGGTGATTCTCTACCTTGATTGTGGTGGTGGTTACACAACTGTACACATTTATCTAAATTCATAGGACAGCACACTTAAGAAAGATGAACGTTACTGTATATGAATTATACCTCAAAACCTACTATTTAAAAATGTGACCCAGGAGACATACTGTCAGACATTTTTCCCCAATCTAAGGAGTAAGACAGATCCCCCAATCAGGGCTGCGAAGCTTGCTGAGGAAGAAGCACACTTCTTATGCAATGGAATATGATTCCGTCTTTAAAAAGAAAAACCCTGTCGTTTGTGACAACGTGGATGAACCAGAGGACCTTTTGCTAACTGAAATAAGCCAGGCAGAAAAAGACAGATACTGCATGGTATCCCTATCGGTGGAATTTAAAAAAGAAAACGTCAAACTCAGAGGAACGTGGCCAGGAGCAGGGGGAATGGGGCGACCTTGGTAAAAGGGTACACACTTTTAGTTATAAGATAAACAAGGTCTGAGGATCTAACGTAGAGCATGGTGATTATACTTGATAACACTGTATTGTATAACTGAAATTTACTAAGAGGAGAATCTGAGTGTTCTCACTAAATAAATAAATAATAAATGTAAATATGATGGATTAGTTAATAAACCTAATGGGAGGAATCTGTTCACAATGTACGCACTTTAAATATGTTAAAGTTTACTTGTCAGTTATACCTCAATAAAGCTAGGGGGTGGGGGTGGGGAGAAGAGCCTTTCTAGAGGTTTCCCCAGAGACTGTGGCTGGCGCAGAACGTACAAGTCCCTCTTTCGGAATGGCCCCTCACCTGCGCTTCCAACCGTCTCTGCTGTCTGACCTGGAGTGAGGCCTTGTGGCTTTCCACGATAGTTAGGACAGGAGGCAGTGGGGCAGAGCAGACAGACCCGGGCTAGGCTACGGCCCTGACTGACTCACAAACGAATCGTATGTTTCAGTCCAGGACACACTGGCTCCCCCTTACGCTTCCTTATCCATGAGCTGGAAACCACCTACTTCTCAGAGTTGGTATAACTCACTCACGTTTCAGACCCTGTACCAATTTGGGGAAAGGGAGCAGCCACCTACTCACTCACTCACGTTTCAGACCTGTACCAATTTGGGGAAAGGGAGCAGCCACCTGCCTGCTGCGAGCGAGCCGGGCATTACTGGAGACATGACGGTACATGGCTTGCTGCTTTCCCCCAAACATTTAACCAGTAATGACAGCACAGGGCTGTGTGCAGTGCCTCGGGAGCACTGCAGGAAACAGCCGCATGGATCTTCCTTCGGGGGGTGGGGACCTGTCCTGGGGAAGGGGTGGGGGTCTACAGGCAGAAACGAGGAGCAGCTACCCCAATGGGAGTGGGCCATCAGAGGGGACAGTGAGCCAAGCTGAGCACAGGAGGCACATGCGGGGAAAGGCAGAGGGAAGAGGCTCCAGACGTGAGCGGAGGCCACTCTGGGGAGGCCCGAGACAGCGTCCGGCGGAGGGGCTTTCCCGCAAGGTTTCCGGGCAGCAGGCAGAGGGGCTAGGCCAGCTGATAAGGCTGCTGGGAGGCCTCTGAAATCCAGGGACACATCAGTCATGAGCACGGAAGGAGGGGTGGAGTGAAAAGGGTGAGATGTGGTGAGTGACTGGAGGGGGAGACAGAGGAAAAGAGGATGGAGAATGCTGCTGTCCGCTCCTGCCTCCATGAGGACAAACGCAGGCGGATAAACCAATGGCTAAGCAGTGAGAGCCAGAGGAGGTCAAAGGAAGCCAAAGGCCCCAGGGGTTCTCTTGCTCACCAGGCAGACTCTGCTCTCCACGGGGTTTCGGGCTTCCACTTCCCTGCTGGTTCCTGCTCCCTGGGCGCTCTCTGCTCTGGGAGGAGGAGCCCGCAGCCATCCTCACCTGTGAATGAGTTCTAGCACCTGCCGGGCCTCACCTTGTTCTTGGCGAGCACGTTGGCTCCTGCTTTAACCAGCAGCTTGACTGACTGGCTGAACCCGTGCCAGGATGCTTCATGCAGGGCCGTGTTCCCGTCCTGAGGAACAGAGAGAGAGACCACGTCACCCGGCCTCATTCGCCTCGTAACGTCCATGCGTCAGAGTGAGTTTTCAGGGCACCCCACACGCCTTCCCACTGGGGTTTCTCATCGGAATCACAGAGCCCAGAAAAAGAGGCGAGTGGCTAGTTCCTCCATTCTCCCAGAAACAGCACTTAACAAGGACCATTCTAGATGCATTCTAGATTCGTGATGTACAATGGATGCCTTAGGCGTCGGGGCTTAAGTGTCTTCGGGAACCCCTGTTGAGAAAGGCAGTCGCATTGAACAGAACGCATCACCAGGACTAATGTCCATTCCTTCCCACCTCCATCACCCCTTGGGCTCTGCTCTGCTCCTGGCCCCAGAGGTAATCCTGCAAAGATCGGACAAATACAGAGTCCAGCTTCATGAATTCCAGGGCCCAAGAACCAGATAGGTAGATTGCTCCTTCCTTTTTCTTCCCCAAATTCTAATTTTACCCAACTTAATCCAGAGGCCTCAGGGCCCCAAAGAACTGAGCAGGTACTGTGAAAACAGGATTTGTGAAAAAAAGTAAATAAGTGTCCCATATAGGTGGCTTTTAAATAAAAACCAACCGATTAAACATAGCTTGCGTTTGCTTAACCATACACACACACACACACACACACATACACACACATATATTTAGTGCAATGAACTGAGTGGGGTGGGGCGTGGAGGGTGGGACTCGGGGAGGGGGCATCATGGAGAGGAGCAGCAGAAACACCCTCTGCGCTGTTCCAGGCTCGGGGCAGTCAACTCTAGGCCGGAGCAGGTACACTCCCCAGTCGTGTCCAGGGTCTGCTTTAGCCTTTCAGCCACACCAAGACAAGGCGGAAAGCCGCCGACACTCACAAGGGGAAGGCCAGGGAGTGGGGCCTGTGGAAAGGGCAGGGGTGATGTGTGGCCTGGCCAGGGGGACTGACTGCACAAAGCAGGAGGCAAAGGGAAAGCGACTGGAGGGGGGCAGGGGCTGCTGGGACGATCCGCTCCGTGACCCGAGGGGCACGCAGGTGTGCTCAGGAAGCGGAAACGCACGGAGCTGCACTTAGTATTTGTGCATTTTTCGGTGTATACACTTGAATAAAAAGGTGTTTAAAAAGTAAACAGGATGAATTGCTCTGCATTGGAAAGTTCCATGTTTTAAGGTTGCTTGACAATTTAAGAACACTGTATTAACATATGTCATTGGGATTTATTAAAAAATTTTATTTTGCTTATTTTTTTCTTCCACTATTGTTTTAAAAATTAACAAGCTCACTTATCAAAAAAAGAAAGAGAAGGAGGAGGAGGAGGAGAAGACGACGAAAACAGCTGGGGGTGGGAGAAGCATGGCACATGCCTTTCCCCATTAACACCTCAACATATCATTACTTCTAAACTTTTTTTTTGGGGGGTGGGGGAACCATTTATGTTTATGTGGTTGCCCACTGCTGCCATAAAACAGGGGGAAGATTAAAAAATAAATTTAGCCTTGGCCAGTGTGGCTCAGTTGGTTGGGTATCATCCCAAGCACCAAAAGGTTGTTGGTCTGATTCCTGGTCAGGACACAGGCCCAGGTTGCTACCTTGATCCCTGGTGTGGGGCGTGTAGGAGGCAGCCAAATGATGTTTCACTCTCACATCGATGTTTCTCTCTCTCCCCCTCTCCCTAAAAATCAATAAAATATATAGTTTTCAAAATAAATAAATTAAAAATGTTTTTCATTTACTGGAATATCAGATATTCTAAGTACATTTGGGCTGGTTTCATCATATTAAATCCTGAGGGATAAGCCTCAGGAATGATAACATCTTGCGTGTGGGTCCTCAGGCTGGCCCCTCCCACTTCACCTTGTCTTGTCGGTCCAGGGCACAGCCCTCCTGGGTGAGCGCCGAGATGACCTCAGTGTTCCCCACCACGGCCGCACGGTGCAAGGCGGTCTGATCCCCCTGCAGGATGACACGGAGGCAGGAACAGGAGTCAGCTCTCCCAGCACCCACTCCACTCCCTCCGTCACAGGGCACCTCCCACACAAAGCAAACTGGTTACCACGACGCGCAAGGCAGGCTTTGCGGTCAGGTTAGTAGACAACACGCGGCAGGCGGAGCAATTTTATTCAGTGGGAACGTTAAGCCAACCGCAGAACGGTCCTTGGCTGCAGAGCTAACCTCAGAAAGAAGGTCCAGCCCTCACCTGCTGCCCCGGGGTATGGCAGTGTTCAGCTGGGCTGTAGCTGTCACACCTGTAAGGAGTGGGTCTGAGAGCACGGCTGTGTGTGCTATGCAATTAGGGCAGCAATGCCGGGAATCTTTACTCCCTACTGCAGCGGTTCCCAACCTGTGGGTCGCGACCCCTTTGGCGGTTGAACGACCCTTTCACAGGGATCGCCTAAGACCATCCTGCATATCAGATATTTACACTGCGATTCATAACAGTAGCAACATTACAGTTATGAAGTAGCAACGAAAATAATTTTATGGTTGGGTCACAACATGAGGAACTGTATTTAAAGGGCCAGAAGGTTGAGAACCACTGCCCTACTGAGTCCCCTAGCTCCCTGCTTCCAGAGAAATCGCCATCCTGCCATGCAGGTAGCAGCACTCATGATCTGATGGTGGGAGTGTATTTGCTGACTGACTTGTGCTGACCACGAGCAATGACGGGTTTATGCTGTGTCATCGCCGGATTCCAGGGATGCCAAGCCATCACTGCACATCTCTACCAAGCCTCTTCTGATCTTTCCTGACAACACCCTCACTGATGTACGCTGTATTTGACCCCTTTCTCTGTGATCAGATTCCTGAAATTGCAGACCTCCTCTTTCTCTATCAGGGTGCCAAAGGGAACTTGACTCTTTCTAATCGCAGCTGGGAAAAGGAATATATGCTCTTAGAGCAGTGGTTCTCAATCTTGGCTGCACATTAGAATCACCTGGGAATCTTTTTAAAATCCTGATTTCTGGGCCTCATCCTCTGGAAATTCTGTTTCTTTGTTACTAATGTTGTGACCTCACCCCATAACAAAGAGACAGAATTTCCAGAGGATGAGGCCCAGAAATCAGGATTTTAAAAAGATTCCCTGGTGATTCTAATGTGCAGCCAAGGTTGAGAACCACTGTCTTAGAGGCAAGACAGTCAAGACTGTTAGGAGAGTTCTGAAGTGCCCTAAGAGCACATCTGATCTCTGACAAGCACTCAGCATGTCAAGCTGAGACGAATGGAGTCCAATCTGGGGTCCAAGTCCACAGGGGAGGTAAGTGATCAGTGGAAAATGTTTCTTCACTGGTAAAAGGAGGGGTGATGATCCTCAGGGTCCCTCCCTTCCCTGGGGTTCTGTGATTTGGTTGATAAGAGTTTGCATAAATGAAGTTTCCTAGTGGAGAACCAGAGGAGCAATCACCCTGGGGCATCCCTGGCCCCTAGCCTGAGAGAGGAAAGGGAGATGATTATAAAACAGAAAACCTTAAGATTTTTCAAGGAGGAATGCTCTGCTACCTATAAATAACCCTAATGAAATTCTGGTTCTACTTACTAAACTCCCTGGAATTAAAAACAATACACTTTAAAAGCACTTAATTGGAAAAAATGTTCTAGAGATGGATAATGGTGATGGTTGCACAACACTGTAAATGTACTTAATGCCACTGAGCTGTATGGTTACAATGGTAAATTTTATGTTATGTACATTTTATCACAATAAAAAAGCACTTAATGCTATTTAAAACTCAAATTCACTTTCTTTAGATTAAAAATCCCCCCTTAGAAATCCACGAGAAGTGATTTTTATTTTCTGCCTTATACTTTTTAATGCCTCCCAACTTTTTGTACTTAACATTTAATTTTTTGTACCAGGAAAAACAGCTATTTATTAAAAGTCTGAGCTGTAATGGACTGTGTGGCAGAATTCTTTCTCACTGTTCATTTGTAGAACTTGGGAGAGATTTCCGCAGTGTCGGTCAGGACATGGAGCCCCATCACCAGGACTTCATCCACTGTCCGCAGATCCCTGCCCTCGGCACCCTACGCTATTATTCCCATTATAAATTAAGTGTAGAGTTGGTTTTTCCCCACCTTCCCAGGCCCCTCGTTCAAAGAGGATCCTGTCTTTGGGACATGCAGGCAAAAGAAGACCATGGCCCGTGCGGCAGCAGCTGCAGTGTGCCAAGCCATTTCACATCCATTTCAAACATTGTAAGAAGTGTCTCCAGATGACATACACTTATTGCCCAGACAAGTGATCATATGAAAAACTGCCCGTGTCTTAACTTTTTAAGTTTCTATAAGAATTTCTAAGACTGCCCATCTCCCTATCAGAACGGTGATGGATTTGCACAAAATGGACCTCGAGTGCAATTTGTTAATACTGACCTGATCTGGCACTCTGTTCTCGGTCAGAAAGGTGAGCTTGAGGCTCACCCTTTCAGCGTAAATACTGACTTGGCCAGCCAGACTGGTAATGGTAAGAGGCCTTTTAACATTCCCACAAACTGCAGGCACTTTAACGAATACTCCTTGGACCCACCAGAACAACCTTTCACAGAACAAAACTTAACCACTCCGCCATGCTGTGCATAAAGTGTGAGCAGTAAGCCCTGGACACGGGTGGCATCAGCCTCTCCGGCCACCCAAGTCACCTCACAAAGGGCCTCTGCTGATTAGGGCACGGTCTACCCTATGCATTGCTTTCGGTCAAATGTTTTATTGTGTTTCACAAGCTGCCACTAAATCATGAATTGAGGCAGCTTTGGAGCCAGAATGTAAACATCATTTAATACTTTCTTTTAACATGAATCTACTGTATTTACTTCCCTTGAGATAACTTTCCTTTGTGAAAGTCTAGCTCAATGCGAGAAGCTAAATCTAACTTTTAGTTCAGCCCTTAGGAACCAATTTCTAGATGGATTAGCAAGACTCAAAGAGAGATTTGCCCGGCCAGCATGGCTCAGTGGTTGAACATTGACCTATGAACCAGAGATCATGCATCCATTCCCAGGCAGGGCACATGTCCAAGTTGTGGGCT